TCTTCAGGCTGACGCTGATGGTGGCGCGTCACTTCCTTCTCCGTTTATCTGCGGGCAGATAAACGGAGAAGGAAGTGACGCGCCACCATCAGCGTCAGCCTGAAGAAGCCGGCAGCCGTCGGCGAAACTGTAGCGTCAATAACAGGTAAACAAAACTGTTTCTGTGTTTAAAAAAGAACGAAAGCATGGATTTACAAAGACACAGCAAGAACACACCTAAGGTGTGGTTTATCAGCCGAATGCCACCAACCGTCAACCGGATGCCACCTGGGAGGACACCAGCAGGATTGATCAACGGTTGACAGAGACAAGTGGTTCCAGTGACTCAAGTAACCCTGCCCCATCACATGGAGAAGCTGCTCGAGGGGGTGCTGTTGCAGGAGGATCGAGAGGATGTATCCCTGGGAAAGCCGAAGGACATGGAGCTGTGGAACAACGTGTGGTTCGTCAGAGGAGGCCCCCCGCTTGGTTCAAGGATTATCGTGTGGAAGTCTAGGACTCGAGGGCAAGTCCTTCAGGGCAAGAAGGTGGAGAGTGTGAAAGACAGAAGACGGGAGTTGCCGGATTATGAGGGCGTGGTGATTGGACGCCGGCTGGTCCTTGTTACGGCTAATGAGGCCGGAGAGAACAAAAGGGTGGCAGATCTACCAAGGTGGTGTGTGTGGTCGACCTGTCATTGTGGCACCAGATCCTAGGGGGTGGGATCGTTCGCAGTCATTTAGGACTGCCGGCGATGAAGATAGTTGAGCAGGTGGCAGTGTTCCAGCGATAGGAGGGAAGGCTTGACACCTTCTTTAGGTAGCGAGGGCTGGGAGTAGTTGGGTACCGAGACCACGCTGACATCTGTCACCGCAGACTCTGGCAGTCGGACCTAAGTTGTGGATTTACCCGCCGTCCTCGCAAGCTGAGCCCCTGGGCGTTGGACGGTGTTGGAAGCTCAAACCCCGGGGAGGGGGTCGCATCAACTGGGACAGCTAAGTACCGCTGCTTGTTTTATTCATGCTGATCAGCTGGCTTTTAGTGTGAAGGACTAGTGTTTTATTATTGCTTGTGATTGTTTTATCATTGCCGATGTAAATAAAGGCTCTTTTGGATAAGTTGTTGCCTACTGATGCTGTTTTCATGTTCTGGCTGGAGGGCAAGATATTCTGCCCGTGCTCCCACTGAAACTTATATTACAGTACAATGACTTGTCATGTTTTCCTCATTTTCAGTGAGAATAATCCAGCCTGTTCTGGGCTTGAACAAGGGCACATATCTCAGGCTGTGGGGAAAACATGTTCAGCAGGTGCTACAAATTCTTAAAAAATACTGAAAATCTATAAAGCATGTCCAATTCTTGCCTTCAATTAAGGTCATAAAATCCATAATGGGTCTATATATTAGCTTTTACATGGTTCCTACAGGTTTGATCAAGTTAAATTCAAGACTTTTAAAGACCTTTTCAAGACCATTTATGTAAAAAACAGTAATACCTATTTTCACAGCCCTATCGGCCAAAACAAAACAAAGAAATCTTTGAACTTGTGTTCTTTTATTTATCTTTCTTTTTCATTATATTTTGCCAAAACACTCGGTAGAGAACAGTAGCAGAGCGGTTTTAGCTTTCACAGAAAGTGTAGCTAGGTAACGTAAAACAAATGTTTAAAATATAACAGTGTTAGTAGGGTTGGGTACCAGTAGGTATTTCTTGATACTATTACTTTAACAATACCTGGTTTTTGATGGTGGTACCTTAAGCCCGGATCACATTATGCGATTTTTGGCCGTCTTTGTCAAATCCCTCATCCTGAGCAGAATCGTAACAAAAAAACGGTCAACGTCAGATTTGCATATGCATCACGCTGTGAACGTACTGTCAGGCCAAAAGTCTTCAGAATGACACAAATATGGGAAATTGGAAACGTTGCTGCTTAAGCTTTTATAATAGCAATTTGCATTTACTCCAGAATGTTATGAAGAGAGATCAGATGAATTGTATAGTCCTTCTTTCCCATGGAAATTAACTTGATCCCAAAAAAACACTTTCCACTGCATTTTACTGCTGTCATTAAAGGACCTGCTGAGATCAATTCAGTAATCATCTTGTTAACTCAGGTCAGAATGTTGACGAGCACAAGGCTGGAGATCATTATGTCAGGCTGACTGGGTTAGAATGGCAGACTTGAGATGTTAAAAGGAGGGTGATGCTTGAAATCACTGTTCTTCCATTGTTAACCATGGTGACCCGCAAAGAAAGGCGTGAAGCCATCATTGCATTGCATAAAAATGGCTTCACAGGCAAGGATATTGTGGTACTAAGATTGTACCAAGAATCAACAATTTATAGGATCATCAAGAACTTCAAAGAAAGAGGTTCAATTCTTAAGAAGGCTTCAGGGCATCCAAGAAAGTCCAGCAAGCACCAGGATTGTCTCCTAATGAGGATTTAGCTGCAGGATCAGAGTGCCAGTGCAGAGCTTGCTCGGGAAGGGCAACAGGCAGGTGCGAGCGCATCTGCACGCACAGTGAGGCGAAGACTTTCTGAAGATGGCCTGGCGTCAAGAAGGGCAGCAAAGAAGCCACTTCTCTCCCGAAAAAATATCAGGGACAGATTGATCTTCTGCACAAAGTATGGCGAATGGACTGTTGAGGACTGGGGCAAAGTCATATTCTCCAATGAAGCCCCTTTCTGATTGTTTGGGGCATCTGGAAAAAAGCTTGTCCGGAGAAGAAAAGGTGAGTCCTACCATCAGTCCTGTGTCATGCCATCAGTAAAGCATCCTGAGACCATTCATGTGTGGGGTTGCTTCTCATCCAAGGGAGTGGGTTCACTCACAATTTTGCCCAAAAAACACAGCCATGAATAAAGAATGGTACTGTTAAGTATAAGTGTTGAAGTATGCCCTTACTCATTGTATTACGGTAGCCCGGTGTACGTTTTTTTTTTCTAAGTTACTATTCCACTTAATGGCTGCATCTGAACATGGGAGCGCAACGGTCACAGATGGAGTAGCCATCAGTTGTATCCTGTTACGACTCTGCTCTATAATAAAACAGTGTCCAGAAAGGATAATTCAAGCCTCTACATCTCTCTCCATCACGCAAAATGCAAGGTAAAACCCTGCTCGCCTCAACAGGTTATGGGCCCAGGAAGATGTTTTGCCACCAGGATGACAGCTAGTCGCCAAGGCATGGATGTTAAGTATTAAACTTATCTTATTCATCTCTTAAACGAACTTGCTGAACATAAAGCAACCATGTTAAGAAAGGAGAGCGACCTGAGAGGGAAGCGAGAGCGTAGAAGACGTTTGCCGACGCTAGTTTTGCTAAGGAAGAAAGATAACTGAACGGAACTAACGTGCATTAGCACCATGGCTAACAGATTAGCAAGTCTACAGACGACGCAGCTTCTATTTGACGGTTCAGAAGAAAAATATGAGCTATGGGAGACGCGTTTTCTGGGATTCCTACATAGCTTGAAGGTTTAAGAGACTATAATGAATGAACCGCTGACCAAAGAGCAACAAGCTAGCGACCAAAGCAAGAACGCCGATTGCTACACAGAATTAATAAGACTAATAGATGACAGGAGCCTGTCGCTCATCCGACATGAAGCCGCGGATAAATGGTAAATGGTAAATGGCCTGTATTTGATCTAGCGCCTTCTAGAGTCCTGGAACCCCCCAGGCGCTTTACAACACAATCAGTCATTCACCCATTCACACACTGGATAAAGGCAGAGAGGCCCTGAATATTCTGAGGGACTATTATTCAGGCAAGAGTAAGCCTAGAATAATACATCTTTACACGATGTTGACAAGATTACGGATGACATAAAATGAATGAGTAACTGACTCCATTTTAAGGGCAGAAAACACAATCGCGGCGCTTCAAGATACTGGGGAATACATGAGTGATGGACTCCTCATCACCATGATCCTAGGCGGGCTTCCCGGCTCCTTTAAAGGGCTAGTCAAGCCTGCCTCAGAGTCCTTTTACACCCACATATCAATTTCGAAAATTGCAACATTAGTAGGTGCTGCCTGGCGGACCAAGAGGGCGGAGCCGCGGCAGTGACGAAGACGGATGGGTAACGAGGCGAAGCTAGCATTTTTTTACTCTGAGCAGTCATTAGAAGTGGAGGAAGTTTCTTCCCCTCCTTACCCAGACAGTCAAGAAGAAAGGGACCAAGTCTATTTGGAGAAGACAAGCGGACCTGAGCCTTATTGTTTTGAGCTTGTGAGTTGCCTGAAACCACCGGAGCCGACCCAACAGAACCAGCTCTGAATGGTAGGTAACCGTAAGCCATAGCATTAGATTAGCTGCAGGGTTTGGCCCCACGGCCTTAGAGAGCTATTATTCAGCATGTTTTAGAGGTTAATCTGCTTCAACACACCTGATTTTAATCAGCAACAAATAGCTGAGCTGCTCAACAGCTAATCTATCCTGTTAAAGCAGGAAAACCACTGAAACGTTCTGGATAGCAGGTCTCTAGGATACGACCACCTACGTTGGGCTAAAGTTATTGTTTGCTGCAGAGAAAGTTATAAAAATACCCCATGAGAAAATTATTCTTTAATGTTTTCACTTATGTTACACAATCACAGACATCCCACTAAAATTGCCCTGATTTAATTATTTATTTACTGATACCAGCTGCTCTCTTGGTCGTAGGTGATCCTCTGGTATCAAAAGCTGGTCTCCTCTGGTTGTGTCGTCAGAATCAGGAACTTCCAGAAGAATGTGCCTTTGAATGAGTCCCTCCTCTAAACAGTTATTTGTTATATTAATTAAATAAATCTCAATTTATATATTTCCTGTTTTTGTTCATGTCCATAGATATTTAAACACGCTTGAAATTATAAAACAAGCTTTTAACAGTGAGGTGCTAGTTTAATTCATCACAATAGAGCTAGTTAAACATGCAACAATGTGATAATTCAATTAATGTAATTTATAAATATCCATTAAAATATAAAAACTGGAATCAAAATGAGACATTTGGCAGCACAAAGAACTTGTCAAACACAATATTTATTATAATAATTGTAGGCAGACAGGAGACAGAGCTGATGGAGGTTCTCAGTCATCGAAGGAAGGCTGAAGGCTTTCCAGGAACAGGAGATGTGGTGTTGTCTCTTCTCTCTCTATTCTGCCAGATGAGCTGATAGGTTACAGGTGTGTGAGGACATCCTCATGCTGTCATAACCAGATGACAGAGTTATCAGGTGATCAGCCAGGCTAATGAGATGCAGAAAGAAAACAAATCCAGGACAGTGTACAGTAATAACAATCTGTGGTGTTGCTCACCTTATGTGCTCTTATAGAGTATTAACGCATGCCTGCCTCATGGTGTAGCATCCATATTTAGCTGAGTGTCCTACAATAATGCAGGTTATTAGTTAATTTACTTTTGATAGCAAATAAAAAAATATTTAATGTAAAAGTTATTTACCAGGTGAATCAAATCACACGTCACCACCAAGTGTCACAGGACCAGAATCAGTAGTCTCCTTCATGATGTCACGATGTAATCTAGCTCCAAGCTCACAGCAGCAACACACGTGTAGCAATAAGCTATGAAACAAAAACATAGTTAATGTTAAAGCGCTTTATTTATATCTGTGAAAGGCGCTATATAAATAAACTTTTACTTACTTACTTAAAACTCAAAGGCTGTAATGAAGATTACATGATGATTAAAAACAACTCATCTTTACTACACCTGCAAGGCTTCATGTTAGGCTGCAACAATCAGTCTGACAGCAGATTACTTGCGTTCATTTAGCCTGAAAAAAAAATCATTTAACATCACAGTGTTGTGGGAGGTAGCTTCCAGAGATGATGAGAAACACGTGGAAAGCAGAGCAAAGACGGAGCTACAGGTCCTTCTGTTAGATCAGGAGGCCCTGAGGTAAAATAGGATGTTAGTGTGAGTCTGGGAAGCTACTCTCCAGTGGTGACCAGCCAGGCTGAGATGTGAGAAACAAACTGAATATAGCATACAATGTTATTATTTACAATTATTATTTATAATATTGTTTACCTAGAACAGTTCATTGAGCTTGTCCTGTCATTCAGATGGAAGCTGCTCAGAAGCTCTCCACCACACCTGGGTCTGTTCAGGAGTGTAGAAGCTGGTCTGGGTGGAATTCCCGTCATGGTCCCAGTGTCACACACACTGCTGCTGGGCGGCTATGTGAAATATAAAGAAAGTGAGGTTCATGTATTATGCCCATCTTCCTACTTACCTGATCACCAGGCCAAATTCTCCAAACCAATGGCCTTGCTTTACAGCTCAGGAGGCCCAAAAAGCGGCCTTGTGCGTCTCTGCTTAAAGATTTGAAAATGAGTTGTAATGTAACGACTTGTCCACCAGATGACAGCACAAGACCACAAATGACAGCCAGGCCATTAGTTGATTCTAGACCTCATTTATTTACTTATCTTGAGCATAAATATCATTTGAAGGACCTGAACTCAACCATGTGAGTACTTACCTGATTATCTTTGGTGTGTTCTGTTTCTAATTCCATTTTTGGTTTTTTTAAAACACAGGAAGGTTTTTCTTTACCTGCTAACGTTTCGTTTGCAGCTGTTAACGTCCTCAGAGCTGATGCTGATGGTGGCGTCACTTCCTTCTCCGTTTATCCGCGGGCAGCAGAGGACGTTGTCGCCCTCTGCTGCCCGCTCTCCCTTCTCCGACGATGCAGTCCCATGCACGATCCAATGTGTAAACCCCATCGTCTCTGTTCATGGTCCCACATCCAAGTCTCCTTGGCCAGAAACAGAAAATCCAGGTTTTTAGAGAGAATTAGATCCTTGAGCAGGAAGGTCTTACTGTTAACAGAGCGGGTATTTAATAGAGCCATGCTGAGTGAGGTGGAGGAATCAGAAACTACAGAAACAGCTGGAGTTAGTGGGCATAATGCGCTGCTTTGGGTCCTGGCAGGATGGGCTGGGGTCTCCATGCCCTGGGTGGCAATTTGACAACAGAAGTACCTATTGGGGCCAGTGGGGGAGCTGGCTCCCTGGAGGGCTAAGCCCAACCAGCCATTCCTCTCCATCCCCGCATATTTCTCTCCTCCTGCTCCCTCACATCATCACACAAACATACACATAGGACCTTGGGGGGTGGGCAAGTCAGGGAGTGCGGGTATGGACCCCATTTCCGCATTCCTGTGGCAACCTGCCCCCCAATTTTATTTGCACCTTATACACTTCCACTGACGACATTCCACACAAACACACACTTAGGGCCTTGGGAGTGAGCACATTCAACGGCACTTGGCAGGGGGATATCTCAGCCTCCTCCCGGGTGCCGGTGCCCACTTCCAATTTTAAACCGCACTTAGACACCGAGGGCTGTGGGTGTAAGTGGGGTGGTGCGATGGCATCAGCTGGCATAGGCCAGATGATACCCGCACTGCCCACTCACCACAGCCATGGAATACACCTCATGATCACACAACACTATATTGGAGCAGGCCGAGGGAGACTAGGGGTCTTAACGCACCTCTGTTGTTGCTTGGCTTCCTGGGGCTGGAGGCTAGGAGGGAGATCTGGCCGTCTGGTTGGGGTCTGAGGAGGTGGGTTGCTGTGCTCAGCGTTGGGCGGGGGAGCCTGCTCATCAGCAACCCAGCAGAAAGGGTCAAACTCTGGTTACCGGTGATGGTTGTACCCCATGTGCAGCAGTACCGGAACCAGAGTGAATAGGGTGTGTATGGGGAGCATGAGTGAGTGTCCTGCGTGCATTTTTGTAAGTCTTGGGTTGCATGTGCATGTGTGAGCATGAGGGAGGGAGTGTGTGACTGTGTTTGTGTATGACTGTATATGTCAGGTGGGGCCTTTGGGTCCTCCCCTCTCCTGGGACTTCTTTTGATGATATAGATCTTCGTCTCCCCTCCCCCTGCCACACCTGGTGTGGGGTGTGGTGCCTTGGTCTCCCTGTGTTTGTGGCTCCCGGGTCAGGGGGTTTAAGATTTTTGGCATCTGCCTGATCAATTCCGGTGGCTGCCTGGTGGGATCTGGGTCCCTGGGCACTGCTGGGTCCCCGGCGGGGGTGGTCGCCCCTGGGTCCCGGGTCGCTGGGTCCCGGGCTCGGCCGGCTAGGGGGTGGGAGGCTGCGGGCGGGCCTGTGGGCTTGCCGCTGATATCTCCCGGGACTCTGCCGGCTGCTGGTTGTGGCCCCCCGGGGCGATCCTCTGTGCCTCTCGAGGGGGGCGGGGGCCTTCCTGGTTGCAGTCTCCTTGGGGTTCCTGTGTTCTGGGGCAGCGCCTGGATCTCTGGGACTTGGAGCTCCCCCCGTCTCCTACACATCTTTGGGGGGTGGATCTGTGGCCCCTCACACTCTCTATTGGACGCTCCTATAGAGAAACCTTACATAAACAAGCGCGTGTACACACACAGGTGCTCACATGGCGCACTCAAAAGTATGGACTTGGGCACGTTAAATACAGGTCTTAAGGCTGTCGTTGCCACTAAATGCATGTTGTTATTAACGTGTGATTGTTCAGTTAATCAATGTTGATTTTATGTTTCATCATCAGGCTGATGCAGTGATAGCTTGCTCCTGAGGTATTGTTGTGTGTCCCATTTTTTTCTGCTCTCTCTCTTTCTGCAGGTCTAGAAGCAGACTCTGGTTCATTATTGTTTATTTTTGTGGACCCCCCCCCTTCCCCTCACACACACACACACACACACACACACTTTTTGTCTTTTCCTTTCTCTTTCACCTCTGTCTCCGTGTCTGGTCGGAATTACAAAGCATTCAAAAACAATAACAATAAAGTTTTAAGTATCAGGCGTGACATTTAAAGCAGACGCTTTGATGCTCCACCTGAGAGTAAATCTGTAAGGCTTGTTACCAGCATTCAGACATCAGTTCTGTTTGCTTCACAGCCAGACAGGACACGGTAAAAAAAGAAAGATGATGGCATGCTTCTTCAATGGTTCGTAATAGTTTATGTCTACATCTCGATGCGTCGAATGTTAGATTATTTTTCACAGCTCTGGTCTGAGACATCAACATCTTTGGTTAACATTAAAGCTGTAAAACACAGAAAACCATTTGTTAACCCTCCCACCGTCCTCATGGGTAACCCCACCAGGAAAGTTAACCATTGAGGAGGGTTGATGGTTCATCCCTTGAGGTCCACGTGGCAGTGGTGAGGTGGTGCTCACCTGAGTGTTCCACACCAATCTGAGCTGAGTAAAGTGTCACGAACGCGAAGGTGAGTTGAGCGGAGGTGAGGATCCACACGCAGGTGAAGAAGGCAGGCAGACGGGAACAGTTTAACCGGTATTTAATATGAAACATGCTGGACATAGAACAATAACTCGACAAGACACACAGAACTGAGAGGGTTTAAATACATGAGGGCTGGATTTGGAAAACGAGAGGCAGGTGGGAGTAATCAGGAGACACAGGACAGAACAGAGTGGGGAGAGAGGACAGGGTGTGACACAGAGACGCAGGTAATAGATTTATAATTTATTTTTTATTTTTATGCAAAAAATTTCACACAAAGAAAATGTTTGATATCAATCGGGCAAAATGTTTACTACAGTCATTACGGGATATTTCACAAGCTGAGGTGATTGTTAATAACGAACATCTGCTTAACCCCACCATGGCCAGCAGATGGCAGCATATGGGCTAGCATAATAGAGACAAAGGGCTGGCTCAGTTCCATGGACAAACACATAGACAAAAAAGTGGTTTTTGATTATTTGGGACATAATCAAAATGTCATGCATGATGCATGAATAGTTTAAAATAAACTAAAACATAAAAAATGATTTAATGGGGCCAGCATTTTATATTACTTCAAGGTAAAAGATGACATAAACCAGGGTTACTCAGACATAATGGTCCGAGGGCCACTCAAAAAGCTTACTATATAATGAAACAGCACTGCACACTTGTCCCTTCCCCTCCAGAGTACCGCTGATTTAAACTATGTGGGAGTTTTTACCCAAAATTAGATAATTAAATCATCATTATTCAAACACTCGTCTGGTGTAAATACAGTAGTGAATATCACCATACAGGCTTGGATCAGAATGTGTGGATGAACTTTAACTCTGAGCTCCATGTTTTTGTGCCTGCAGCCACACAGCAGCGCTTCTCCACGCTGAAGGGTTTATGTTTAATGCATTAAGAAACTTACAGGTTATAATAAGTTCAGAGCAGGTGAGCGTTTATGGTGAAGTTTGCATTAACTGTCAGTCATTAATTTAGATCTTAGAATGAAAAACTTGTGTGCTTTTAATGAAGTTGGAATATTCTGGTGTTCTGAAGCGTTTCTAATTTCAGACATTAAACGAGATGGGGGCCTTCGTCCCTATTGGCCCGTGTACGCCTCAGGGTTCAAACACCTGTCTCTTTCTGCATGTTGAAACACACACACTCACCCACAAGTCTGTATATTTCTCCCTATCTGAGAAGGTTAAAATGGAGGCAACACAGTCTATTTTTCAAAGATATTTTTAACAAGTGTTGTACACAAAACTCTGCTGTTGTATATGTGAGTCTGAGACAGGGAAGATTGTGTTGTTTTTATGTGAGTATGAATCAAAAACCTGTGAGTGAAAATTCAATGAAAAGCCACTTCTCTTGGCCCACCTAGGCCAGTCCGACCACATCTCCCTGTTTTTACTCCAGCGTACGGAGCCCTCATCAGAAAAGTGAAACCAGAGACCAGAGTGATTCAGGCGTGGCCTGAAGGAGCATCAGAGCAGCTAGAGGACTGCTTTGGTAGTACCAACTGGTCCATTTTCCAAGATGGCAACATCAAGATCTACACTTCCTCTGTTCTGTCTTACATAAAACATTGCATGGATACCGTTACAACAACAAAGAAAATCTGCACCTTCCCCAACAGCAAGCCATGGATGACCAAAGATGTCAGGTTTCTGCTCAAGGCCCGTGACTAAGCTTTCAGGTCTGGTGATGCTCAACAAAACAGTGCTGCCAGGTCAGAGCTGAAGAGGGACATCACAGAGGCCAAGATGGCTTACAGCACATGTGTCAGACACAAGGCCCGCGGGCCCGCCACATCATTTACTGTGGCCCACGAGAGATTCAAGCGTCTTAAAATAAGTCTATTCCACTTCAAAGCGCACATTGACTATAAACTACATTTCCTATAATGCATGGTGATTGTGTTCCCTGTGCAGTGACTCGCCACTAGTTCGCAGTGAATCCACTTCTTTGTTTAATAAATGCAACAAGTGAAAATAACGGTCCACAGATCATCCCAAAATGTCCAGGAAGAGGGAGATTGGTAGAAGGAAGGGGCATCAACAACATGTTGATGCTTCAAGGAGAAAAACCGGAATGTCTTTACAGTCATTAGCATCCATGCTACTAGCATCAGCGTTTGCAGCGTTACCCCCTCTGCCTCGGACAAACTGAAAACTCTCCTCTTACTCAGCGCCGAGTTTACTCGGCAATTAGCCAACTTTGAAGCCCAGAAATTGATTTGAACAGCTCAGTAATCTGTTTGCTGCTGACATAGAAAGCGCACCGACCAACTTCCAGGCCAAGATGATTTAACTCCAGTTTAGCGACACACTCAAGTCAGTATGACTCTGTTGCTGCTGCAGCTTTTATCCCCCTCCCCGACACATGGGGGCGTGGTCAAGATGCTCTCCATGTCCAGCAGCACAAACCTGCGTGAGCAACTGTTTCTCACTGAGAACTCATTCCTCAGCTCAGAGCCTGACCCCACAGATGCAGGTCTGGCTGGAACAGGTGAGCATCAGAGGAAATCAGAGTGGAGCAAACTGGGATTGAATTATTTTGGTTTTATTAACTTTTTCTCCTCCAAAGCATGAAAGTTATTAGGTGAGATATTGAATTTTCATTCAAGAGAATTACAATTTCTTTATGTTGTTGTCTGTAAAAAAAGATTTCTCCTACTTTAAAACAGGAAAGAATTCAGATAGAAGAATAGAATAGAAATAAAATAGAAAATCTCTTAATTGTCCCTCAGTGGGGAAAGCTTGGTGTCACAGCAGCAATAACATTCATTACAGGAGCAACAAAGCAGAGTAAA